CTTCAAAGGATGCCCTTGAGAAGGACTTTTCTGTGGTAGCTTTTTGGGGGGAGTTTTCCATGTTCTTCACAAAGAGGAGCCTAAAAGAATCTCTATAATGTGCAAGTAAAGAACCCGCACCCCAGCACCTTGGAGATGCTTCTCTGCAGGGGCCCAAAGAGCCCCTGAGCCCCCAAACCTATGGAGATGCTGCTCTGCATGTGGAGAATGGTCCCCTGTGTCCTCAATCCATAAGGATGCTGCTCTGTATGGGCAGGATGGACCCCTGAGCCCCCAAACCCATGAAGATGCTGCTCTGCATGGGCAGGATGGGCCCATGTGTTCCCTAAACCCACGGAGATGCTGCTCTGCACAAGCAGGATAGACCCATGAGACCCCAAGCCCATGGAGATGCTGCTCTGCATGGGCAGGAGGTACCTCTCTGTTCCCCACACCCATAGAGACACTGCTCTGCATGGGCAGGATGGACCAATGGGACCCCAAACCCATGGAGATGCTGCTCTGCATGGGCAGGATGGACCCCATGGGACCCCAAACGCATGGAGATGCTGCTCTGCATGGGCAGGATGGACCCATGGGACCCCAAACCCATGGAGCTGCTGCTTTCCACCCCGATGGGGCAGGCTTCCAGAGCAGCTTCCAGCCCTCCCCTTTGAGATGCCCACACCAGCAGCCTCAGAGGGGGTTTCCATGCACCCCGTGCAGCCATCTGACAGCTCAGCCTTGGGAGGACAGAGGAGCTGGGGACCACAAGCAGCCCAGGAGCTGCTGCTCAGGAGACAGGGGCTGGATTTGGCCATACCACTGGGCTTGGGGGCGGTGTTTCTGTTCCTTGCTCCATGCCTCAGTTTCCTTTTAACATTGAGTGTGAGAAGGCCGTGAAGGCTCCAGCAGAAGGAAACCTTCCAGGGCAGAGGGACCAGCAAGAGGATGCTGGGACTGCTCTAGTGGGAATCCCTGGAGCTGAAGCCTCTCCTTTGGGTGGGCGCTGCCTTTGGGGTGGATGCTGTTGGGGACAGCATCCTGATGCGAGAGAAGAGATCTCACCCAGCATCATCAGGGCTTCAGGGAATGCTGCTGGTCCTGGGGCATCGCTGTCAGTGCTCCTCCTAGCCCAAGGTAGGAACAGTTCCCCACCAGCTCAGCTTTTGGGCCACCAGCATTGGACTAAGGAAGACAGAAGAAAGATGCAGGATTGCTACTACGAAGAGAAGGTTTTATTACTTGTAACACTTCATTGAGCTGAATCCACAGAGCAACACACAGAAACGGTGCAGGAAAGTGCAAATTCCCACTCTGCAGTTGGAGGACTCCTGGTTTTACAGAACAGGCACTGGGTAAACAAGAGCACAGAGCCAGAACTGCCCAGGATTCGAGACAAGGAGAACGATGCAACTTGAGATACTCCTGTCACCTCTGTACAAAGCTACTCAGGAGCAAAGGGGAGGATGGGGAATGTCCTGGGTCTTTTAACCAACAAGGCATCACCATGCAAAGAGCCCCAACTCTTACTTGAGGAGAGGGCAAAAAGGGGGGAGGACAAAATGAAGTGATGCCAATATTGGTTTGCAGATTAAAGAGAACATCCAAGTGCTTTCCAAAGCAGACCGCACGCTCCACCATGCCCCCTATGATAGAAACCATGACTCCACTTCCCCCTCAATACTCCCTTTAATAAAGCAGGAGGTGAAACCCCCAACGCTTTGGGAGCCACACAGAGCAGGGACACAAAGTGCTTCCCGAGTACTGCTACAGCATGGGTAACACCAGGGATCTCACCACACAGGTATCCTCCAACAGGAGATACATCACCAAGCACCACCCAAGGCAGGTAAAGGAGGCCAGGCAGTGATACTGGGTGCTGTAACTCGCCTCAATACCTGAAACACATTGCATTCTAGCTCTCAGTTTACTCTGTGGATGACAAAGCCAAGTATTTCCCCTCCTCAGAAGGAAGAGGTGGGTATTTGCTGTTAAGGAAATGAGACCTCCTCAGGCAAAACCCCAGCCCAAAGGAAACCTGGCTCCTTGGAGGTGCATCCTGCTGGGTGCAAGGGAAGTGAAGGGCAAGTGATGCACGACTGACCCACCATTTGGATGGGCACCAGGACACAAAGCAGGGGCTACATGACTTTGGGCTACAGCTCAAGCTGTGCTTGAAGCTTCCAGTCACTCACCCTGTGTTAAACACGCTCCCTCCTCCTCCTCTTCCATGCAGGAGTCGAGATTCAGTCGTGCTGTGGCAGGAAGCATCCTCTAGAGGGGCAGGAGGAGACCCCTGAACAGCACTTGAAGGTATTTAAGCCACACACTGGCCACTGTATCACAACTAGAATAAACCACTCAGCTAAAAGCTCTGTGTTATAGATGTCCAACCCTGCCTGGCAGCCCTGTGCTTACAGATGGCCTGTCCTAGACCCAGGGAACCAACTTCATCACGTATCTGAGGGAGACAGAGGTCAAACCTGTCACATCAAGAAGGGAAAGGGCAAACCTGAGCCCTCCTAACTTCAACAAATGCTAAACCCAAGTCATTGCTGTCCAAGCACAGTTAAAGCCAATGACTGGCTGCAGACCAACTCTGAAGAGGCCTATTTTAACTGGAAGCTCCTAATAAGCACCATCCACGGTGTACTTTGATCTGTTATCTGCTTCCTATTCAAGTCGGGAAAGCCTTTGTTCTTATCTGGAAAGTAGTAAAGAAGAGCTGACAACTGAAAGAAGGCTGTGCACAAGCCCAACAAACTCCAACACGATGCAGAACAAAGTCAGAAGTAAGATAACTCCACAACTTCACATAACAGAAGGGAAGCGAGATCAGAGGGAGGAGATAAAGGAGGAGTTCCACAAACGGAACAGTATAAATATATCCAACAGTTCAAATACAGTAGGAAAACAATGGTAGCAGCAGCTTAAAACCAGCAATAACTATTATACCCTTAAATACATTCAACACGTTGTGCCTGTTGCTGTCATACATCTCTAACTCACTGCTCAAATCTATGGACGAGAAGAATTCCAGGTATTAAACTCCCTGTTATTTGCCTTTATTATTAAAGACATTTAAACTATGAACAGTTACCAACTTCTAAGAATGCTGACTGGAAAACAATTTGCTTCCATACTGCATTTATAACACTTGTCTACTGATAGAAAGCAGATCCCTGGGGGAAGATGCAGGCTCCTGCTCTTTGCAGGAGCATCAATGTTAACTCAAGACATAACTCCTAATGCTAACTGCTACGATACACACAGAGCTGGCCTTACCACACACACTATGCTTTTTAAACCTTTGTTCAAACTTAGGTTCCAAGCCATTTGTTCTCTATTACTAAAAGGCTATTGAAGAATGAATCCAACCTGCCCAAGGCTTTACTCTGCTGCCACTGAAGGAATGATGAGTCCTCATGCAGCTGGGATCCAGATCTGCACCTCTTTGTGAAAGCTGAAGCCAAAGCAGCAGTCAGAAGTACCTTCACACCTCCTGACACCTGCCAAGCACTGTACAACAACATGAGGATACCCTAAGTGTAAATGCTTTCACCCCATTCCCCCCATCAGTCAAATATACAGTCAAAGAGAACCAACCAGGTTTTTTGGCATTAGATACATTTCACCCCATTGCAGAACAATCTGGAAGCATTTCCTCTGAAAGTAATAAATAAGTATCAGTGGCCAACAAGACTTTGTGCAACACAGACCTCCTGCAGCACAGGTACATTCATATACAGCAAAAATACTTCTCCATGGTTATAGTGCAAAGCTGCTGTCAGCATGAAATACCTAACATGAACCTCTGGTGCTCTTTGGAGCTGTGGGAATGGGACACATACAAACCCACTGCCCAACCCTGTGGCATCCAGCTGTAAGGGTATAATAAGAGAGAGGACAAACGGAGGGATTTAACAATAGTGGCAAGACAAGAGCTTTAAATTAAGTGCACCTTAGGTTCTTCTCACCTAACCTTCAATATAGCCCTTAAGAGTTTATCTATTTCTTTTACTGTGAAGTGATAGCAGGGAGATATCCAGAACATACTGACCTTATTCTGGAGCCTTCTATAGCCATTCAGGACACATTAACAAGTATTACTCTCAGTTAATCAATACCCAGTTTTCCTTGAAGCACTGCTTCAGTTAAAGCATCTTTCATGGCTTTTCTATGCCAAAACGTGGCGTTTGCTTTCTGAAATCCTACCTATGTCCATGAGAACTTCTGTACTGGCCTATTTCTTGGGGGGGAAAAAGGGATGAGCTGTGCCATTTTAATCAAGCAAACGTAGGAAACAGATGGGAAGTTGTTAGAAACATGCCTTAAAAGAGAAAAAAATACTATTGTGACTGCTCTTGTAACAGAAATCAGCTTACAAGACACCACAAAAAGTAATGGCTTAGTAACTAGGAAAGACAATATGATGGTATCTGGGTCTCACCTCCATGTCCACTCCTTTTGTAATACACAGGCAATAGGAATTCAAGCCATAAACCCCCCAAAAAGTCACCAGCTGGAATTTACAGTCAAAGTTACTGGATTATTTCTGACACCTTTACTAAAAGGTTTAAGATCTCTTTCTCCCTTCAGGGCCATGGGCTAAAAGAAAGCAGGTGCAAAGTAGCTCAAATGGGCAATTTAACCAGGGAATGAGTAAGTCTCTATCCCTCTGGAAGCACTGTGTAATCCAAACCCAGGCTGCAAGTGGAGCTCTGTGTGGTGCCACTATTGTTACACCGTTGAGTAAATAAGGTACACACAGGAACGTTACAGCGCACCAAGAGCACCTTGGACAACAGAAGGTTACTTCAGGAGCTGAAAAAGGTCATATTGAACAACTTGACTAAACAAGGAATGCAAAGCACTGGACTCTACCTCCACTTGTTGGGAAATGAAGAGCTGTCATGATACCTACACTCACACACAACAGCTAGGAAGAAACAGGCTTCTTTGTCAGGCTGGAGCAATCACTTCCTTTAAGTGACTATCTGATTATAAAGCCTTTAGCCCACAAAAGCTATTTGATACCTGAAATGAGTTGAAGACATGATCTAGTGGTTAAGATCTGTCTTAAACCTGCGAGGGCAGTTCATTTGCATTGGTGCAGGTTAACCATGTCTTTTGGTCAAAAGGATTGAGAACTGTAGTAAGAAAAGAAATTCCATCCTTTTCTCTCACCTCCTCTCCTTATCCCAATTTGCTTTTCCAATGTTCTTTTGGTGAAAAGCCTGACAAAAGAATGCTCCTTTATAGAATAAAACCATAGCTGTTTAACACACATACACACACACACATATATATTAAACTGAGTTGTGTTCTTGGTTCCTTTGTGACACAGGGCAGAGGGTCACTGCTCTGAACACCAGGGCCAGCAGATCTAAGCCGAGCGCCAGATCAGTCCATTCTTATCAGGTTCAAGGAAATTCTCAATCAAAGCTTCAATCAGCTTCTGAAGCTCTTCTTCCAGCACGTTTCTGTCACTGGACAAGAGAACAAGATGGTGTCAGAGGTCTGATACACACCAAGCATCCATTTACAACCTGAAAAGCAGGATCTGATGGTGATGGAGCTGTTACGTTTCCTACCAGCATCACAGTGTAGAGACTCCAACCTTCTCACTTCAACCAGCTACTTTTCCATGGGGACTATTGCAATATCAATTTAAATTCATTTAATTAAAGAACAAATTAATCTCCACTAGAGGGCTCCAGGCTGGCAGAGGGGACACGACAACTCCTAACTGCAAAACCAATGCAAGACTGGTCAGACACGGAGTGTAAATGGGTTTAAAAGAAGAATGAGCTACCAAGAGGAGGTAGAAAACCCATATTTTCCTCCACACAGCATCCAGATGCCCATCTTGGGTGACATGGCTTAGGCTGAGCTGTCCCTGCCCACAGCAGGGGGTAATGGAACTGGATGATCTTAAGGTCCTTTCCAACCCAAACCATTCTGTGATTCTATGATCTAAGTTTTCTGATTGTATTTTGGCTAAAGAGCCATTTAGGAGGATTGAGTAATCAAGGCAAAGTGTCGTGGCTCAGAAGAGGACACTGTAATGTGCTGATCCTTTCCCTATTTAAATGCCCAGACATTCATTTGATCCGCCTGCACTAATGCATTGCAAAACTGCTTTAAAAATGCATAACCCTGTGCCAGAAGTCTCAGTGGAAGGAGAGGAACTCAGCCTGGTTTTAACAGAGAACAGGCAAAACAGGCTTATTTACATCTGCTTGCTTCATTTGTGGAACTGAGACTCCATCATTGCACTTCAGGACACCACTGCCTCTTAAAGAGGCCACCCCAAAATGCTGTTGTTAAACTGCCTTTCCTGATGTTCAGCTCTTAAGAATAACCAATAAACAGGAACCCAGAGTACTTGGAATGCTGTTACAGAGAGGGATGTCTTTGGAGGTTCCTACAGGCCACTTTATGCCTTGAACCAGGGAAGCTTGAGAGCTTTTCAATTTAGAATCATAGAATCATTTAGGTTGGAAAAGACCTCTAAGGCCACTGAGTCCAGCCATTAACCCAGCACTGCAAAGCCATCACTAACCCGTGTCCCTAAGTGCCACATCTATTCATCTGTTAAATATCTCCAGGGAGGGTGCCTGCAGCCCTGCCCTGGGCAGCCTGTTCCAATGCCTGAGCACCCTCTGGGGCAGGGATTGTTCCTCAGCTCCATCTAAACCTGCCCTGGTGCAGCTTGAGGCCGTTTCCTCTTGTCCCATCCCTTGTTCCTTGGGAGCAGAGCCCAGCCCCTCCTGGCTCCATCCTCCTCTCAGGCACTTGTAGGCAGCCATCAGGTCCCCCCTGAGCCTTCTCTTCTCCCCACTGAACCCCCCAGCTCCCTCAGCCCTTCCCCATCACACTCGGGCTCCAGGCCCTGCACCAGCTCCATTCCCTTCTCTGGCCCCACTCCAGCCCCTCAATGTCTCTCTTGCAGTGAGGGGCCCAGAGCTGAACACAGGATTCAAGGGGTGGCCTCACCAGTGCCCAGTGCAGGGGCACAATCCCTGCCCTGACCCTGCTGCCACAAGCCAGGATGCAGTTGGCCATTTCGTGTTCCTGATAAGAATGGCCATTAACCACAGGTAATAACAAATTAAATGTCAATGCACTTTTCTGACTTACCAGAACGAACAGCAGCAGAAGCTTAAATGATGCAAAGCGTCCTCCTGTCTGTTGTTCCTCTCCCCACTACCCTTGTCTGGCCTTTACTTGTGTTAAGATTAGGTAAAAGACAGCATTTCTAGCATTTGTTTCTTCCTTTTTGGTGCAGCTTCTTACCCTAAATATACCTCGCCTTTTCTTTCACCAAATGGTATGTTGCCCACTCCCAGGTTCATGGAAACATGTTCTAGCTGAAGTGAGAATTTCCATACCCACATAAGTGCTTTCACATGCCACACGAGCAGAAAGCTCTCTGACTGAATAAATAGCAAGGTTCTAGCAAAAGCTGCCACTCAGAAAACTGGGATATAGAATCCCCACTTCCCTGACCTGCTCTTATTCCATGGTCACTACAGAACAACTAAAGCATGATGCAGAACATAGGCCATACCTGTGTTGATGCCCTTCATGTAGCTCCTCCCTGGGAGGGTGCTGAGGTGCTGGCACAGGGTGCCCAGAGAAGCTGTGGCTGCCCCATCCCTGGCAGTGTTCAAGGCCAGGTTGGACACAGGGGCTTGGAGCAAGCTGCTCCAGTGGAAGGGGTCCTGCCTGTGGCAGGGGTTGGAACTGGAGGAGCTTTAAGGTCCCTTCAAGCCAAACCATGCTGTGGTTCTATGATTCTATATACAGCAATAAAGCACAGATTCCACAGCAATCTGTGGAAAACTGCCTAGGCATGGATTTGTGTGTCCCCTCACATGGACATTTTCCAAGCAAGGGCTATCTACCACTCACAATCTATCCACTGACTGCCTAAATCTGACCAAAACATTCAGTGATAAAACCATGCTCAGCCTGAATTCCTGCCAAGAAGTAGAAAGAAATAGCAAATCAGAGGCCCCTATATATTATTTCTATTCTCTGCTCCACAGGAATGTTGGAATAAGAGTCTAAAAGGGGGAATACTGCTGCAATTCAGGTTAGGAATCCAGTTCAAGAGCTGGTTCTCTCCATTAGCCAGGCCAAGAAGCTAGGCTCATACACACTCCTGATTTCACTGGTGCAAACACACCCTGTATTTGCACCCACCTCTTTTAACTGGGAATAGCTTAATCGAGGTGGCTGTCAAAACGGGACAGGCCTTTACTACTATTCCTGTAGCTCAGAGCAACACAGATTCCCAAATGCAGCAAGAATTCACCAGGGTTTAAGCAACGTGCCATCAGCAGCACTTAATCACTCTTTAATTTGAAGTGAATGAGGAGCTGGGTTAATAAATGAGTCTCCTCATGCAGCAGATGCCGAGGATTCAGTTGTCTTATCCACTACAGAGGGGCTCCCTTAGGAGCAGGAATGTGCATCACTGGCGAGTTTAACAGGCTGGAACAGTCAGTGAGGCTCAGGTCTCCAAGGAGGTAGCAGAGGAATCACCCACAGGCAAGGAATTGGTTTCTTTCTACTGACTTTCATCCCAAATGCATGTTGTAGTGTGCTCTCTGCTTACCTCTGCTCAGGCAGTGCACACATCTCTGCGTAGTACTTGATCTTTGGCTCTGTCCCACTTGTCCGAAGGGTGGCAACGCAACCATTTTGGAAGGTGAAAGTGATCATCTGACTGCTTTTACTCACTGGCAGCACCTATAAAACCAACATCATCTTATTACACAAGACCCCAACTTCCACAAAAGGGGGTGATTTTATGTTTGCTTGGTGTTAACTACAACATTCAGTACGTGCAAAGCTAAATAGACATGCTGGAATCCCCCCCTGTATACATCCACCAGCCAGTGCAAGGCAAGAACAAGTCGTTTCAGTCTGATGAGACTCAGTGTTTAAGGATAACAGAATGGCCTCTGGCTCCAATTGGAATTCCAACATCTGGAAGCCTGCTAGACAGCTTCAGAGTTGAAGAACACCGAGCTCACTTCAACTAATAAAATCAATTCACTGTTACATGAAAATAAGTATTATAAGAAAACAAGTATTCACTTATTAATACGTATAAGTCTGCTCTGCTCTTGCAAGATGCCACTTGCAACACTCTGTGCAGTACTGGTGTCCTCAACATAAGGAGGGGATGGAGCTGCTGGAGCAAGTCCAGAGGAGGCCATGAGGATGCTCAGGGGCTGGAGCATGGAGCCAGGCTGAGAACATTGGAGTTGCTGAGCCTGGAGAAGAGAAGCTGCGTGGAGACCTCAGAGCAGCTTCCAGTGTGCGAAGGGGGCTACAAGGATGCTGGGGAGGGACTCTTCATCAGGGACTGCAGTGATAGGACAAGGGGTGATGGGTTCAAACTGAAACAGGGGAAGTTCAGGCTGGAGATAAGGGAGAAGCTCTTCCCTGTGAGGGTGCTGAGGCGCTGGCACAGGGTGCCCAGAGAAGCTGTGGCTGCCCCATCCCTGGCAGTGTTCAAGGCCAGATTGGACACAGGGGCTTGGAGCAAGCTGCTCTAGTGGAAGGTGTCCCTGCCCATGGCAGGGGGGGGAACTGGATGATCTTAAGGTCCTTTCCAACCCAAACCATTCCATGATTCTCTTGCAAAAGTCCCTCATAACTCACCGATATCTTATTTGGCTGGCTGCTGTCATAGCCAGTGGTGACATCTCGCACATGTAAGATATTGTAAATGCCACAAAGTTTGGGATAAGACTGAGGAGCATCAAAGTTCCGAAGTCTCTCAAATATCCTTTTGATAGTAGGAGGATCATAGCACAAGAAATAGGAAGTCTTTGATATGTGGTACCCGTACCTACAAGCAGATGAACATTTTCAGTTACCAGACTGTTTTCTTTACATTTAGTAACTAAAGAAAGCTCCTGTGTGGAAAAGCAACACAAGAATGCAGTTGTCACAGCTGTGGGAACAGGTATTTATAGGCAAACGGTTGGACTCTGAAGCAGATTTAGCTGCATTACTCAGATCACCTTCAGCTATTTTATAAACTCAAGTATAGGTCTGAGCTCCAAAGAACTAAAATCCAGTCATTTGGCTTGGAAGCCTTCAGGAAATTAATACCCAGTATCATTCCCTCACCATCAAAACTTGTCTGCCATAGCCATAACAGATTATTTCAATAGCCTCTGAGGAAGGTGATTGATGAGTCCATCCAAGTTAAAACTACTACCCCAAATCAGACCTAATGTAAGTGCTCACCAGGTGCTGGGCTGGCAGGATATTAGGCAGAAGCTCTTCCCTGTGAGGGTGCTGAGGCACTGGCACAGGGTGCCCAGAGAAGCTGTGGCTGCCCCATCCCTGGCAGTGTTCAAGGCCAGATTGGACACAGGGGCTTGGAGCAAGCTGCTCTAGTGGAAGGGGTCCCTGCCCAGGGCAGGGGTTGGGGCTGGATGAGCTTTAAGGTCCCTTCCAACCCAAACCAGTCTGGGATTCTATGATCTGCTGTAACTGCGCTTCCAGTTCCATTAGCACAGGAATTTCTGCTGATGAACAGGGTTTATCACAGCAAATGACTTAATTCTGACATAAACATGCTCCTCATTTTGCTGCAGTGAATTGTCTGTAGCTACTGAACACAGGCCATTCCTTTAACCCCTCTTCTAATACAAACCTCTGCAATAGCAGCACGTGACAATCCCCAGACTGTGTTGAAGTCTAAATGGTGTTTCAAGAGAGGCACACAGAGCACAACTAAGATACAGCCACACACCACAAGATAACAAGTGACATAGTGAGAATTTAATGAATTTGATCTGCTGGACCTATAATGCAAAATTCTTTCACAGTAGGAAAGGGCTCTTTAGTCCTTTGGGAGACGGAGCATTTAAGTAGTATCTGGAATACTGGAGACTGCAGTTCATCATAGCATCAGAAAAAAACAGCTTGCAATGAGAAAACAGCTGAGGGATGCATTAGAAAGATTCATTATTCCCAGCTCCTGAAGAGTGAAGTGGAACATACTAATGGGAAATACAACTTACGTTTCATATATCTCGATGAGTTTCTGTGCTAGCGAGAGGTTCTTGCCCTCCAGGTAGGTTGCCATCTCAGCTATGACCACAGCTGCACTTACACCATCTTTATCCAACACTGATGTGCCACACATGAAACCTAGAAATCAAGTTGTTCATGAGAAAAGTAACCTGAGATACTACTACACCGATTTACTTGATTGGCTTTTTAACCTTCTTCCTGTAAAAGGATATTGGCCAATACACATAAACTGGTTTTATCACTGCATATGCATTCCCCTTGTCTAAGAAAGCTAAATTAACTTAGGATTGTAGGGCTGGAAAGATATGTGCTCTAATCAATTCATTCCAGATCAATAACATCTGCTCTCTGAAGACCTCTCTCACAGTACAGTGCTAACCATAAAAATAAGCTTGTTTTGTGCAAGCACATCAATACTGCAAAGAGTCTTGTCAGTAATGAGAATCAATCAAGAGATATAGCCTTGGTAACCCCCAAATCAGTGCTTCTCACAAATGCTGGGATGCTTTCTTTGTGAAGGGATGCACGAGCAAGATCTTAACTCCTGGTTTAAAAGCTGCTCTGATTTTATGAAAGAAACTGGCATGGACATAAACCCTCTTCAGTGTGTACTTCAGCCTTCCAGTGCCTAAAGGGGCTGCAGGAAAGCTGGAGAGGGGCTTGGGACAAGGGCCTGTAGGGCCAGGCCAAGGGGAATGGCTTGAACCTGCCCAGAGACTGAGCTGAGCTCTTAGGCAGAAGCTCTTCCCTGTGAGGGCACTGAGGCGCTGGCACAGGGTGCCCAGAGAAGCTGTGGCTGCCCCATCCCTGGCAGTGTTCAAGGCCAGGTTGGACACAGGGGCTTGGAGCAAGCTGCTCCAGTGGAAGGGGTCCCTGCCTGTGGCAGGGCTTGGAATGGGATGAGCTTCAGGATCCCTTTCAACCCAAACCATGCTGTGATACTATGATTCATTTTCAAACATCATATTATACAGGAATATGATGTCCCAAAAGCTGCCATTTATACCAAGTGGAGAATTCCCATAGCCAAAACATTCACTACACAGCTCTCCATGGGTAAGTGGTGCCAGCAAGATTACCAAGATAAACAGAGTGCTCCAGTCAAGGTCAGCAGGAATAGTCACACACTTCCATAAGGTATGCAATGCTATTCCTGCATGTCTGGATTCCTCTCATATTGTATGAGGGGACAGTATACACCTCCTGAAGGTGCTGCAGCACCAACATGATGGGAAGTGTGACCAAAGCAAACCTCCTCCCAGTTCCACAGAGCCATTAGTAGCGAGTCCTCACTGAGAGGACCTGGGAGATATTAAACTGATTAAGAACAGATCCTGTGCTTCACCTCAGCTAAATGACCACACAACAACAGTAGTCGGGCTCTGGCATCTCAGGACTCTCAAGCTGTACCAGATGAGGCTTGTGTCAGGAAAGTACAATACCAGAATCAGAGATTCATGTATCATTTATCATCATAGTTGGCAAATTGATTTGATGAGAGCAAAATATCAATACCAGTAACTACATGAATGGAAATAAAGTGCTTTTGATTTGTTCCATAACTAAGACCACTTCTTTTTAGTGACATTTACCCACACTTCTCACCATTTTAAAATGATATGAACGTATTTACCAATAGACTCTTCAAATGCAAAGAGAACTTCTTTCCCATTATCTAGCAGATTTTTTACTCTACTTCCAATCCACTTAAATCCAGGGAGTGTTTCCTGAAACAGAAAAGATAAAGAGTGCATTAAATATATATTTTCAATGTCGTTTCAAGTCAAAGAAGTATATCCACTATTAAAAAAACATCTCTTTAGATGATAAATCTAAAACAAAGAGTCACTGGATAACGTTTTACTAGGGAACAGTCAACTAGGACATGAGTATCAAATCAAGGAGTAAGTGTGCTTGAGAGATGATGGTTCAGTCTGAGATCAGAAATGATCTTCCATGGTGGTTTATCAGGTGAGACAGCAGCACAAAGTTACTCAAAAGGAAAAGTTCTAGAAATACAAGCAGCATTTCAGGGTGATGGAGGGAACAGCACTGCTTGTGCTCTTCAAATCATGCAAAAGCAGGCAGCATCTTAGATGCAGTCCTTCTTAGAGAGAAGGAAGGGGCAAGAAGGGAAGGGGCAAGAAGGGAAGGATTTAGAGGAGACCAAGGGGTTCTGTAGATTCCTCATCCTTTTTTTCCAGTCCAATGTGCTCCTTTCCACAAAAGGAAAGGTATTTTGAGAGATAAAGCAATTCAGTACAAGGCAGCAATATCCAACCTGCCTGAATACTGAATGTCCTCCTGTGAGGGTGCTGAGGCGCTGGCACAGGGTGCCCAGAGAAGCTGTGGCTGCCCCATCCCTGGCAGTGCTCAAGGCCAGGTTGGACACAGGGGCTTGGAGCAAGCTGCTCTATGGAAGGTGTCCCTGCCTGTGGCAGGGGTTGGAGCTGAAGGAGCTTTAAGCTCATCCAGTTCCAACACAAACCAGTCTGGGATTCTGTGATGAAGCATATCTGGCCAGTCACTCAAAATGGATTTCACAGTTATTTTCCATTTTACTTTTTAGTTCCTCATTGTTTGGCAAAATGTTTTTTCCTACTACACATGGCTTTAATTTAGATATGTATTAAAAACAAGCCCTGGATCTTTCCATGTTTGTGCTAAGCTCTAGAGCACTTAAAGTCTCTTATGACAGTCTCAGACATCAGAGCAAGTACATAATTTGAATGCAGGAAGTAAAATACAGTCACTGGGGACAGCCCCACTACCTCTTTTAGCAAGTCCTTCACAAAACTACATTAAAGATCTGAACAAAAGAGCTCCTTTCTCTGTCACAATCTGAAGTAAAACCTACTTGGAACCTGGGCACCTGGAGGAACACGGTGTAACCTCTAAGCACTTGGTACAAAGCCACCAGAAAGCATTCCATTTGTGTAGGAAACACCGAGTTGCACAACTTTCATTCTCTCGCACAGAGGAATTTACCTCTAGGGAAATAACCACGACAAAAGTATTCCTGTTTTATGTAAGTTAGGGTTTAACTTGTGTCACCTCTTACAGCCTCCTTGCAGGTGAGTTGAAAAGTTAATGCGATTTAAATTCAGGGAAATTCTTTCAAGAAAAAAAATCAGGAATACTTCCTTAAATCTCACAGTCTGCAATCACTGTAACATGCATTGAGAAATGCTGCAGATGGGGTAAATGCTCCATCCCTGGCAGTGCCCAAGGCCAGGCTGGACAGAGCTTTAGGTGACGTGGTCGAGTGAGAGGCATCCCTGCCCATGGCAGGGGGTCTGGAACTGGATTATTTTAAGGTCCTTTCCAACTCAAACCATTCTATGATTCTACATGGAAAATAGGCCTGTTCAGGTAAAACAGCATTCTTCACACACTGGAATGCATAAAAACTCCAAGCCCAAAGACTGGAAGTCATCTATTTGTCCATTTCATAAAGTCAGAAGAGGGGGGAGCTAGATGGAGAACGTGGCAATGAGATTTTACTGAGCCAGAGGACCTCATAAACCCCATACTTACTTCAAAGTGAAATCCTTCTTTAAGTGCAATTGCCCTCAAAATCTTTGAGGACACTGTGGTTGCCAACATGTAAATGTTCTTCACATCAGCATCTTCAGAGCAGTTTTCCTTCCAGCATGAGAACATCCACCACCCAAACAAAGCTGCTAGCTCATTGCCAGTGAACACCTTCCAGCACCCACTGCAGACAGGATAGAAAGGTTAGTGCTCATTCAAGGTATCCCAGGAGCATCCACGCAGGGGGAGATGCTTCTGCAGGCACTGGAACAGGAATCTGAGTGCACTGCTGATAAGCTGCTCTACACAAAGCCACCATATTAACAGGACTTCACATTTCTCACATCTCAATGATTTACAAGCCCAGTGCATTCTGTTAGCAAGTAAAGATACCATTGTAAGTATCCTTACTGTCAGCTTCAGAATAGCTTAGACCTTTTTAGCTTATCAACCAGGAGTATAGCAATCTATACAGCCAACACTTGATAGGCCAAGGGGGAATGGCTTTAAACTGAAGGAGGGGAGATAGGTTTAGGTTGGACATAAGGAAGAAGTTCTTTACTGTGAGGGTGCTGAGGCGCTGGCACAGGGTGCCCAGAGAAGCTGTGGCTGCCCCATCCCTGGCAGTGTTCGAGGCCAGGTTGGACACAGGGGCTTGGAGCAAGCTGCTCCAGTGGAAGGGGTCCCTGCCCGTGGCAGGGGTTGGAACTGGAGGAGCTTTAAGCTTCCTTCCAACCCATTCCATGATTCTATACGCTGCAGTCAGGGGTACTACAGACAGCTACTTACACAATGACCAGAATTTTGGCCTGTCAGTGGAAGAAAAATAGTTTCCATTCAATATGAAGCAGCCAGGGAAAAACAAAGAAACATAAAACTTCCGATAGCTACAGTCCCAAGGCAGAATGTTTGCCTAATAGAAGTGAAAATACAGCAACAACAAGATTTTGCTGTCTTCAGTAACCACTGAACTGTTTAATTTGGCCTTTTACTGTAACATGAATAGATCTGGTGAATGCTCCACCCCTGGCACTGTTCACAGCCAGGTTTGATGGGCCTTGATCAGCCTGGTTTAGTAGGCATCCCTACCCACGGCAGGGGGTTGGAACTGGATGAGGTCCCTCCCATCCCAAACCAGTCTGGGATTTTATGACATTCTGTGCCTTTTCACTACTACTTCTGCAGAAAGAGAGAAAAGAAACGATCCCATCACTCACTTCTCCTGCTGTTCCGCCACTGCTAGTCTATCTGCATCTGGATCAGTGGCCACTACTACTTTAGCACTTTCCTTCTCTGCAAGCCTCAGTGACAGCTCCTGGTGGAAGAAGAGGGATGGGAAGAACAAAAAAAATCACAAGAGCAAATAAACCCAGTCTTCCTACTTCGATATTACATGCATATGTAATCTCATTCAGATTGTATTAACTGAAAGCCAGGTACTCCCTGCTCTCTTCCTTGGTTTTTCAACACTATCATACCCAAACAGAGGAATGCTCACAGAAATCTGATGAAATAGAAACAAAAATACCAGCACACATTCCCCTTCTTCAGGATTTGGGCATTTGACAGTGGAGAAGTCTGGATCTGGATCTTTTTGTTCAGGTACTGGAATGGGAGGCTGGAAGCCAAAAGCTTTGAAAGCCGACTGCACGTAGTCATGTCCAACTCCATGAAAAGAGGTATGAACAAACTTCAGAGTTGTTTGCATATTCAGCTCCCTGAGGAGGAAAGAAGAATTTCAGGAAGATTTTAGTTATTTAACAAGATTCCTTTCATGGGGGAAAGCAAAAGCAAAAGAAAATGCAGTTACACTTTGTACTGTTCTGCTGATTCCTGCATTGATTTCAAAGGAGGAGCAAAGGAAACGTGCTCATTTGGAGTTTCACTAGAAATTGCTGGTTGAAAGCTTCTTCCTCTGGAAAACGAGATATTCACCTTCTGCTGAATCAGCTGAAAGTCTCCCAAGAACGAACTGCTGGTTTGTGCATCAACCTCCAGCTCTTCCACCACCCTGAGGATCTTACTCTGGCTCTGCTCTACCTACATTATTCTTCACCCTCCTTTTATTCTCCTCTTCTGCCCCAGCTAACCTTTACACTTAATCTTCTCACCTCTATTCCACACATGTACACTCTGTTGTGCATTGCATTTAGTTAGCTGAGCCCCTTTAACTGAGGTCTTTTGATGGGTGGTCTTCCTTAGCATGAGTAGTAATGGGAAGCTGAAGTTGCTGGAGCCTTAGGCTACAAGCAGGTAACTCCCACCTAAAGCTGAACTGAGTTTACAACCTGTGTTTATTTATGCAAAGGAAGGCCTTAAGCTCAGTGCAAACTGGAAGGTAAAGGAGTTACATCCATTAGCAAGGAGCACCAGAGGTAAGATGACATTTATGGCCCATCTGGAGACAAGGAAAGAACCCAATGACTGATAAACTTTTGTCCTGGGTCCCTCCCTGGAGGCACCCACCTCAAGCTGCTCCTATCCCTGCATCCCAGTTATTAAATGAGTTTTCTAAGTATCACACATCTGATATTGTGCTGTGGGAAGCCTGAGGCACAGAATTCTCTGTCACAACCTCACTTTTAGTCTGTATTTATCTTTGAACACATTCATTTATATCAAATCATCAGGGTGCATTACTGTAGCACAGTGCCCAAAAGCAGGGTTTTTCATTAGCAAGTATGATTTAGGCCTAATGCTGGTGACCATTTAATCAGAGGAGGGATGGGGTAAGACAGAATGGGGAGAGGACCAGGAATTATTGCCCACATTGCACAGAGCAATGGCCTCAAGCAGACAGTGGTGTCTGGGGCAGTGGAGCACCCAGCTTCTGTGAACCATAAAGACACATCAAGTCACTGGTCTGGGACAATAAAAATCACTATAAGCAGGGCTGAAACTATTACAATTTGGGAAGACAGCCCAATCCCTATGCCCAAGTGAACAATGTTTCTGTATGGCAGCACTGCATGCTTTATTACTGAAGTCAGTTTTCCACATGGAACCCAAAGCTCCCTTAAAACCATCATTTAAGTACATTTTGCTTTATCCAGTACCTGTAATAACAGATCTTTTTCAGGTCTTCCATGTAACAGTCACAGATTTTCTTCAGAGGATCCTGCCTAAGGGGACTGGTATCTACTAGATTCTCATTCCAAGAGCCATTCCATGGTTCAACACACTCTTCTATGCACTTGATGATTTCCTTATCGTGAGGAGAGGTGATCTGCGCTCCATTTTCCCAGTAAACCTGGTGTAAGTTTAAAACAAAACAGTTTATTCACAAAGATTAACTTGATAAATTCTTTTAGATACAGGATTCTGCTGACTTCCTGCTCCTTGAAGTCAGACAGGAAAGGGTAACATCAGACCGGCTTGATCCTCCAAAGTCATGTGGAATCACAGTTCAGCATTCCAGCTGTGCGACACCACAACCTGGTGTCCCAAAAGTTGGTATTCAACTATTATGACTGAAATCATGAGGACGTGAGAAACCAAAACTGGGCACTTAGAGTGCAGAGTGTTGTGCAAACCGAACAGAAACAATCCATTACCTTCCTCACTGTCTGGCATTCCTTTCATAAAGAGACACAACTTGGGTTGGAAATCGAAGCCAAGCAGATAAGCAGTGTGCCAAGGTACATGGTTTTCTGTAACTGAAAAACTGGAAACCCTGTGAAACCCTGAGCTATGAAAAGTCTTTGTTAAAGAATGATTTAGATGCCAGTTTTCCCACAGTTGGTTGCCAATAGCATGGTTGAGCTCACAGAGCAGATCAATTTGTCTCTCATTACTCAGTGCCTTTGAAACTATGGCTTGGTCATGTTTGGTTAAAGTTGCCCAAAAGCCTTTAGAAGCTGCTGGATTCATAGAGGAAATAGTGACAGATAAAACAATTCTTGTGGAAGACTAGGATAAAATCCAATATCCTGACATAAGTGCTTTGTATCAGAGACACAAACATAAGAGCTTCTTGATAAATGAAACACCTGGAAAACAAACGTGTCTCATTCATCACTATTCTACGATTCCATTTTCTTCTTCATTGCTATAGCTAAGCAAAGGCTGCTGAAGCACTTTACAACTTGTTCCACAGAGGATAAATGCAGTACAGGCACACCCAAGAGTTATCTGTGTGCAGAAGAAGGCTGGGTTTTCTATCCTTGCCATTACTCACTGACTTGATGCTTTTAGAAGGCCAAGTTTAGATAAAGTTTAGAGTTTAGTTCAGATTCATATAAAGTTTGGAACAAAAATACTGTTACAACACTGCATAAGCAGCTTTTACTACTATGGATGGTTACACTGCTCCAAGCTTTCAAAATGAAGGCACCCACCTTTCTCTCAATGCCCAGAATAACAACCTTAGAGGGAGCAGCACAGTCTTAAACAGTCATCATCTTCAGCACAGTCACCTACTGTGTGGGTTAATCCACCTAGGTTCTAGCTTAGTTTCAAACTCATTTTTAAGTCTAAGAAGTGAACACATAATTAAGCATTCCTCCAGCTGCTGATTTGACTCTATGGAATGTCACAACAGACCTGGGCTCAAGAAACACAAGCAGTGTGTTCCAGGTGCAAAGGAAAGCATGTGTAACTCAAGTTAAAGACAGATGAATTACCTGAAATCATTTCTCCTTCTAACCTACACATACATGTGCCACAAAGGAAGACTCTTCCCTGTGAGGGTGCTGAGGCGCTGGCACAGGGTGCCCAGAGAAGCTGTGGCTGCCCCATCCCTGGCAGTGCTCAAGGCCAGGTTGGACACAGGGGCTTGGAGCAAGCTGCTCTAGTGGAAGGGGTCCCTGTCCTCCTGGAGGAGCTTTAAGGTCCAACTCAAACCAGTCCACGATTCTGTGCTGAGCCAAATGCCCGAAGCAGGTAACATGGAAGAGCAGCTGGCTGTGACACGCTACAGGCTTCAAGCCTTACCTTGTACCCGTTGTCCTCCTTCCGGTTGTGGGATGCTGTGATCATCACACCAGCCACAGCATTGAGCTGCTGAACAGCATAGGGCTACAAAGGAAACCCAGAAACACTGATTTAGTCAAGAATTCTGCAGCTAGAATGGCACAGTATCATTGTATTATTAGGAGAGTTACACAATAGGATGCTACAGGAGAAGTGGCTCTTAACATTTCACCAGTTGATTTGAAACTGTATACATGAATGCTCATCATTCTCTTTCCTGTAGTTAATAGGGAGAGTTGTTGCATAGGAAGATTATTCCATTTACTAACTACACAAACACAATTGTTAACTGACCAACTAAAAGCCTACACTCAGATTACACTAGGATTGAAGAGAAAATGGGTCGAAATAGAAAGAAGGAATCCACCAAAGGGCTTGTGGAAAAACAAGTGACAGGTACTTTCTGCTAAAGAGCACTCAGTTCTTTCAGCCTCCCCTCAAAACAAGATCCATAGCACACCAGAACAGTTTACAGAAGAGAAACCAGGGCAAAATGTGATTCTATTGACTATGTGCATGCAGGAGAAGTCAGAACCATTCTTGTTACAGCCTCCCTCAGCAGGAGCTAGACAGGCTGGAGAGATGGGCAAAGAAATTCAATGAAGTGCATGGTCCTGACCTTGGGGATGAATAAACCCTGGCACCAGCACAGGCTGGGGCCTGACCTGCTGAGAAGCAGCTCTGTAGAGAGTGGCTTGGGACCTGGTGGACACTAGGTTGTCCATGAGCCAGCAATGGGACATTGGGATCAAGGTGGCCAACAGTGTCCCAGACTGCATCAGGAAGAGCACTGCTGGCAGGTTGAGGGTCCTGATCCTCCCTCTGCACAGCCCTGGTGAAGCCTTCCCTGGAGCATTGTGTCCAGGTCTGGGCTCTCCAGTATGAGAGACCTGGAGCTCCTGGAGCAAGTCCCACAAAAGGCTGTGAGAATGATGAAGGGTCTGGAGCATCCCTCCTGTGAGGAAAGGCTGCAGGAGCTGGGCCTGTTCAGCCTGGAGAAGAGAGGCCTCAGGGGGATCTGATCCATGCATACAAGTACCTGAAGGGAGGGTGTCAAGAGGATGGGGCCAGACTCTTCTCAGTGGTGCCAGCAATGGGATGAGAGGTGACAGGCTTAAACTAAACCACAGAAAGCTCTCCCTGAACACGAGGAAGAACTTGTTCACTGTGAGGATGACTGAGCACTGGAATAGGTTGCTCAGAGAGGTTGTGGAGTCTCCTTCCCTGGATGGAGAGCTGCCTGGGTGCAATCCTGAGCAATGTGCTCTGGGTGACCCTGCTGGAGCAGGCAAGCTGGACTAGATGACCTCCAGCCTCAGCTCTTGGGTGATTTTGTACCAAGCAGCCTCTATTTTCTCTTTAAATAATGGGATTTCATAAAAAAAAAAAAAAATCACTAGTTTGCATTTTTAGTGAACTTTCAAGGACTCCCTTACCTGCAGGGCTCAACAATATAACAAAGGAGATGACTTACCACAAACGGAGTAGGGACATAGGTGGAGAAGAAGTACACAGGTACATCTTTAGCCAGCAGGACCGCAGCAGTGAGCTTTGCAAGTCTATCAACAGGAAGAAGAAAGCATTCAGTCAACCCAACTCCCCACAACGCTCCAGCAGCCATTCGTGTAACGTTCATTTCACTTGTTTGTTAAATCCCCCTGGTGTTTTCTTGCTCACACTAAGAGCAGTGCCCTATAGCTTCTAGACTTCATGTAATGCAGTCTTCAGGTTGTAGAATCCAAGTCAGTGCTTTTAATAATTGCTTGAACAGCACAAGGCACTTCAGTCAACACCATAAATAAATCAGTGCTATCAAACCCTCTTGGTGTGATTCCCATCCTTCATTCAAGGACAGAACCAATCTACCAGAAAGTCTGAAGCGCCAGATGTCTGCAACAGCAGGTTTGGGAAAGGATTCAGCATCCCACCCAGCAAAGCTGGTTTGCCAGCCTTGTTCAGCAGCTTCAGACAATATCCATGAAGAGATCTCTTCCCAAACATACTTCTGCAAACCAGTACACTTTTACTCAGAAAAGGTTAGAAACAGTAACAGCAACTCTTGGTTTAAGCTGCCTTTATAATAAGCTTTTCCTCTTAAGAAGCAGGGAACTTAATTCTCTTCCAGGTAACTCATATGAAACTGTTCGGTTCAAATCAGACACACACAGCTCAGCAGTTAACAGGAAGTCTCAGAATCAAAATAGGTGAGGGATTAAACAGTGTAAATTTGCTTTGCTCACTTGTCATGGGAGATAAGGAAGCAAGTATTAACACTTGTCTGTATGCACAAGTATAGAGTAGCCTAAGTTTCAGTGACTCAGAATTTCACTGTGGCACCTATCGGGTATCATGTGAATATACTTCAAAGAGTTTGAGAGCTCAGGTTGTGGTTGAAGCCACTGACATTTTGCTCCTGTAGCACAACAGTTTACATCAACTTAATTACAGGATACAGTCAGACAGTCTGACATCTCCATCAGCACTGGAGCTGATGCAAAGAAAGGAGCACCGCTGCTCACGTAGTGCTGGATAAGCACACTGAGCCAACTGAAAACCCCCTTGTGGGGAGGTTCACTTTGATTTCAGCACTACTGGAACTCTGTGTCATCCCAAGGGGACAAAAGAAACACATAGTTGAGAACTGATCGATTCTTGAACCATGGAATACAACTGCGCTGCTATCAGATCTGAATTCCAAGCTCTGCATGGCTGAAAAGGAATGTATTTTCTTACACTTCCACCTTTTTAGGCTGTGCATAACTCAGATGATTTGGGTAATAACCTTGCAAACACAGCGTAACAGAGAAAAAAAAACCTTCTGCCAAAGCCTGGTTGCTGACATGCCACACGTTCTGATGACCAGGGTGGAGAGGCAGAGCTCAGGGGGATGGAGAAGCTCTAAGACAGACACTAGATTCTGTGCTCTATTGCACTCCATCCCTGCAATATTAAATGCTGACAAGCATTAAATATCCCAAACTACATTAGTTACAACAATTAGACACAATAACTACATTAACTCCAACAATTAAACAGTTAGCTAATGGGTTGAGGTTTGGTGAGAAACATCATTCAGGGAGCAAAACATGTGTTGTAATCACAACGGGATTAGGATTCCTTCGAGAATTCAGAAGGCAGCTCTTTTATAGGTCCACTTTCCTTGCAAAGGGCACGTTTCAGCATCACTGTAAGTTTACATTTTAAGCATTCCAGGTAAAACATTCCCAATGTAGACCTGGGATCACAGATGAAAATAAGGGTGCCAAAACACCAGGTTATGGCTGGCTGCAGGTAGAATTATTCTCCCCCAAGCAAGCTTAAATCAGGTGTTGAACGTTATCAATAGTGTACTAACATTTAGTGATTTCAAGTTAGATGTTAGTACTCAGAATCTACCTTCACATTCAAATTTCTCTCCAGGCACATCAACTTCTTAATGTCTGCCTAATGATCTTGGGCATTTAGATTGTAAATTCTCTGGTGAAGGGACTAGTTTATATGCCACATTTGCTGACAAGGTATTATAAAGGCTTTAGTCCGTGCATCTCTTCCTTACTACTTAAATGGGCTAAGGGAGGGGAAAGTGTGTGTAGCTGGTGACACAAATACTCTGATGGAACAGAAAGCATTTAAAAGCACAATTTAATGTCTAGACTTGCAAATGTAATCAATACTCATACTTCTTACTGCTGCAGTTGCTGGTCACCTGACCTCGTGTGTCATATCCAACAACAAAGCCTCTCTGCTTAAAGTCTGAGAAACACCTCTCAAGATACTTGTAGATCCCCTGGAAATAGAGAAAAGAAGAGGTTGGGAAGAATTAGCTCCAGTGCAGCACACACAAACGTCACGAACGATCTTCCATGAGGGATGGAGAATGTCAGGAGGCAAACCCCAACTCAGCTAAAACATCAAGCATGCTATTCACAAAAGCAGCATCTTTTTTTCCCCAGTGTTCACAGAAAGAAAGAAATCAGAGAAAACCAGGGAAATAAAACCCACACTACAATAAATGACCTGACAGCATTAGCAGAAAGCTGGAACCAGCAAAACCCTTGAGCAGTAAATACTTGTTTTCAGTCCTTCCTCTGCTTTTATGTATTCAAATCACCTTGGAGACTCAATGGAGAATAATCCACTTTTTGAAAGCCTATCCACTGTGGCAATGTTAGGCCAGTGCTAATCTTTATCCTTTTGCTCACAGTACAAGTCAGGCACCTTTTCATCACCATTTCAAGCCGTCAGTTCTAAATCTGCATTAAAAGGATGCTTCATCCTCACCCACTTCCTCAACCAAAGGTTTATTACTAGTGACCTGCTCCAGGTGGACAGATTGAAGCCCTCAATGTATGTATGATGCAGATACAACAGCAAAAACACAAACTGCTTTCTCTTCATCAAGGCAGAAGATTTCCAGTGGAAAGGTATCAGAGATCAGCCCCATGCACGGAGGAGAAAAGGGAGCACACTTGTAAAACACATTGGGGGTGAGGAGAAATATGTGCTGAAACATACACAGGGAAAACCAAAGAGCTCCTTGGTCAGCTATCCCTCTACCAAAGGGGAGGAGATGGATGCTCTTTGGAATCACAGAATCATAGGTCAGATACAGTTGGAAAGCACCTTGAGATTATCTAGCTCCAACCCCTGCCACGGGCAGGGACCCCTTCCACTGGAGCAACTTGCTCCAAGCCCCTGTGTCCAACCTGGCCTTGAACACTGCCAGGGATGGGGCAGCCACAGCTTCTCTGGGCACCCTGTGCCAGCACCTCAGCACCCTCACAAAGAGCTTCTGCCTTATCCCCAACCTGAACTTCCCCTGCTTCAGTTTGAACCCATCACCCCTTGTCCTATCACTGCAGTCCCTGATGAAGAGTCCCTCTCCAGCATCCTTGCAGCACCCTTCAAACTGAAAGATGCTCCGAGATCTCCATGCAGCTTCTCTTCTCCAGACTCAACAGCCTCAACTTGCTCAGCCTGTCAATAGCTCATTACATGATGTTCCAGCTTCACCTTTCCTGTGGCCTCCAAGTCCATTAGTTTCCCGGTTAGAAACTCTCTGGAGATCCACCACAGACACAACCTAGGATGGATCAGCAGTTTTAGACAAAAAGGCACTGCTGTTAATGGAAGCTGCCAGAGGCTACAGTTCACTACAACCAGAACACAGCTCTAACACAAATACAATGCTCTGAACATATCGCAGCCAATGGCATCCTAAAAAAGCCAGTTCTTGTGAGGGTCAGTTTCCTCCTGACACAATGAAGGTATGTTCTGCAGTAGAATTAAACAGGTTTCCCTCCAACATTAAGTGCAATGCACCCAGTCTGGATCTGATCTGATGTGGAGCCAGGCTGAGAGAGCTGGGCTGGGGCAGCCTGGAGAAGAGAAGGCTCCTGAAGGGGAGACCTGAGAGCAGCTCCAGTGCCTGAAGGGGCTGCAGGAAAGCTGGAGAGGGGCTTGGGACAAGGGCCTGTAGGGCCAGGCCAAGGGGAATGGCTTGAACCTGCCCGAGGGGAGACTGAGCTGAGCTCTTCGGCAGAAGCTCTTCCCTGTGAGGGTGCCAAGGTCCCTTCATCCCAAAGCAGTCTGGGATTCTATGATCACCAATGAGCAATCTCTGAGCTGGAAAGCCTGACTGACTCCTCACGAAATTCAATGAGCTCAATTTATTTGGTGTTTCTTGCCCTTTTCCCCCACAGAACGTGCTTCAAAACAGGAAGAACTGGATACTGGCATCTCTCTGGAGAATTATGTCAGCTGCAGATGTCTATAGAGGGATTCAGACAGCAAAAAACCTTTAAAATCAATACAAACCCTGCATAGGGACAGAAGTGGAAAGTACCCGCGCACAATCGGCAGCTGAAGTCACCTTCACACCGAACTGAACTGTGTTGATACAAACACACATTCACCCTGCCCTACAACCTACCAAGAACCTTCATTCACAACTGTAAAGAGACAAGAGATAGAGGAATGGAGAAAACTTGATCAAGTTTGACTTGAGCACACTGAATAACATGTAAAGAGATTAAGAGCAGATGATGAGGAGGAGGAGGAGCAAGAGATGATGATGGGGAAGGGCTGAGGGACCTGGGGGATTCAGGGTGGAGAAGAGAAGGTTCAGGGGGGACCTGATGGCTGCCTACAAGTGCCTGACAGGAGGATGGAGCCAGGAGGGGCTGGGCTCTGCTCCCAAGGAACAAGGGATGGGACAAGAGGAACCGGCCTCAAGCTGCACCAGGGCAGGTTTAGATGGAGCTGAGGAACAATTCCTGCCCCAGAGGGTGCTCAGGCATTGGAACAGGCTGCCCAGGGCAGGGCTGCAGGCACCATCCCTGCAAGTGCTCACACCCCATGGAGACGAGGCCTCAGTGCCATGGGGCAGTGGTGGCCTTGGCAGTGCTGGGGAACACTTGGACTAGGTGATCCTGAAGCTTTTCCAACCTCATTGATTCGGATTTCATTCTACAATTCTATGATTTCCCTATATGAGATTCACAAAGGGAGATCTAGATTGCTTCTCCAGGCATGAATAATCCTTTTGTATGTCCAATCGCTCAGGATTCATTTCAAAAGAGAAGTGAGGGGAAAGCGATGCTATCACGAATGGGATAGAAAGATTTGGGGTTGATGAAATCAGAAAGCTGTTACTGTCTCTCTTGAAGCCCAGTATTGAAATGTTTCAACTCTTATCTTCATCTTTGCTTATACAGCCAGAAGCAATGATGCAAAGATGACTGGTTTTGTCACTGTGGGGTCAGTGACTGGTTACTCACCCAGTACGAGACGCAATTGGTTCAGTGGGGCAGAAGCAATATGTGAGCAGGAGATTCAAGGCTTTATGTGTAGGTTACATCCCTACAACCATCAAAAGCAAAAGTCATTCAAAAGCAACTTCTGAATATCCTGTACCCTTCTGGATCTTTTAGTGACATCAATATAATCACGCAAGGACACAGCACGTGCCTAAGCATGCATCTGAGCTAAGGTTTAACTGAAGGGAATGCTTTAACTTCACTGAAATCTCCTTGTTTTGAACAGACATTCCTTCCTGGAACAGGACACATAGAGCCAAGGCTGTCCATTTTCACATGAGGTTCAGCCAAACTGTTAATGTCATCACCTTCTGAAGCAAGAGTACTCAAACAAAGAGATTAAATCCAATGCAGCTGACTTCAGAAACACGTTCTCATCTGCTTCCCAGTCTTGACTGATGAACAACCAAAAACAGAAGCTCTAGAGAGGGAGCAAAGGATTTCAGCCCAGACTGGTACTTTCAGAAACCAGTATTGCCCATGAAGCTGAACTCACAAACACATTCCCTGCTGACCAAAAGGAACCTTGCCCTTTCTGCCAAGAAAGGGTCTCACTTGGGCAACCCAAGTTCAGTCACGCTTCCACGAGAATGGAAACAAAGGCAGCATGCAATGTCCAGGAGATCAGGGCACGAGCAACTCCAGCTTCAGTCTGCACAAGCCAAGAACTGACTTACTTCCTTTGTGTTAACAAGATATTCTTCTGTACGGCTGCATCAAAAGGAGCAGGAGCTCAGGGAGGGGATCCTGCCCCTCTGCTGTGCTCTGGGGACACCCCCCTGCAGTCCTGGTCCAGCTCTGGGGCAGCAGCACAAGAGGGACGTGGAGCTGTTGGAGAGAGGCCAGAGGAGGCCACGGAGCTGCTGCGAGGGCTGGAGCAGCTCTGCTCTGGAGCCAGGCTGAGAGAGCTGGGCTGGGGCAGCCTGGAGAAGAGAAGGCTCCTGAAGGGGAGACCTGAGAGCAGCTCCAGTGCCTAAAGGGGCTGCAGGAAAGCTGGAGAGGGGCTTGGGACAAGGGCCTGTAGGGCCAGGCCAAGGGGAATGGCTTGAACCTGCCCGAGGGGAGACTGAGCTGAGCTCTTAGGCAGAAGCTCTTCCCTGTGAGGGTGCTGAGGCGCTGGCACAGGGTGCCCAGAGAAGCTGTGGCTGCCCCATCCCTGGCAGTGTTCAAGGCCAGGTTGGACACAGGGGCTTGGAGCAAGCTGCTCTATGGAAGGGGTCCCTGCCTGTGGCAGGGGTTGGAGCTGGAGGAGCTTTAAGGTCCCTTCCAACACAAACCAGGCTGTGACTCTATGAAGACTAAAGGTGGGAAGAGACATTTAACTGTATTTCATATACACAATACAAAGCCGTTTGTATTTTGTATCCTCATAAGAAAAGGAACCACAGAACATCCATTTTCTGACTCATGCTATTCATTCTCAGAAGGATTCAACACTTGTCTGTTTGCCTCCCACCACCTTCACTGCAGTGAGACAAAGCCCCATTTTGCAGATTATTAAGCAAAAAGCATTCAGATTCTTATTTACCATCATAAAGTACATGCAAGAATGCCTATCACAGTCAGGAATGATAGTTTAACAGAACTACAACCCCAGATAAATCAATGTTCATATTCAGACTCTTTCAAGTGCTCAGCGTCTGGATAATATCACATTAATTTCCAATGTACTGTGAATTTATTTCTGATACAGGTTAAAGTATTGAATGTACTTGTTCTGAGGGAAAACTGATAGAGGAATACATCAACTGAGAACAGCCTGGTACTGTATAAGCAGCAAATATAAGAACACATCCACTATGAGATAGCAATATAGAAAAGGAGCATGGACCACTTGTGATCAAAACATCAAGTGTCCCTTCCAAAGGTGTTTATTGAAAAGGTGGGGAAGACATGAGAAAACTGGGGACCTTTGAGGAAGAACAGATCATCCACCCTTGAGCAAAACAGTGTGTCAAAGAAAGGCAGAGACCATGAAGCCTTATATTAATCAACAGGTTGATTTATTCAGGCCATCACACATATAACTCATTAACATTGCTTGAAAGAGAAGCAGGGAGAGAAATGGAGAAGGGTGTGATCGCTTCCCAGCCCTCATTGGCATGCAAGACCAAAATCAAGAGAGGAAAACACTGATAGCAGAAGCCAGTGAAGAAATGCATCCAGAAGACTGTACTTCTGTTTGTTATCAACTTAAACCACCAGTCAAAAGAATCTGTGATATGGTTTAAGGAAAAGATGTGCCCGAAGTGAGGAATCTCTGCCACCAGTCTCCCCTACAACAGCACTGGTGCCACTCACAACCCCATAGCAGCTTCTCTCCAGCTCCTGAGCTCTCTGTTATCAACTTTTGTGTCCTTCTAGATGTACATCCAGCACCACCAGCAAGCAGAGCTTAATCTCTGGCAGAGAAAACTGGGATTAAAGTTCCCCTGGCCAAAACTGTACTCACACCAAACCCATCAGACCCTTTCCAACAGCACTAACAGATGACTATCAAAATGGCAGTCAGGAGCCAAATCTAAGTTCCAAGATCTCCCTATGTGTATTTGAATCAGGCAGTCCACCCCATAATATTGTACTCCAGAATACAAAGAACTAGCCCTCAAAGACAGCAACATCCATTTACAATGTTTTCCTTAGCAAATAATTCTATGGTGATGTCTCTAACCCACATACACAGCTATTAAATCATAGATAAGCCATGAATCAGCCCTCTCTGATACAACATGTAACATAAGATTTGCTGTTTGAGAGTTTAAATTCATATCTCAAATTACCTCCTTGCATCTCCAGTTTAAGAAGTGCCAAGAGCCACAGGGAGACTACAGTCATGGCACTGCACTAAACCCCAGTATTTTCTACAACCCATGTAACTGGAAGGATTCCCTGGAAGTTAAACAATTTACAATACAGATGCTCTTCAGTCATTCCACATTTGCTTTTTCATCTTGCTTCCTGTTCATTTTCTTGGTAAAAACTCCTTTTTTTTTCCATATAGTTATGAACAGCTTTAGCTAAAGATGAAAGAAAAGGCTTGTTTGCTTGGGGCTGGGTTTGCTTTTAGGTTTTCTTGATGGGCTTTTCCTTAGTTTTTTACTAACATGCAAAGCTCTTACAACAGCCACTCATTTCTCCAGCTACAAAGCAGCATAACAGGCCATAAAAAAATGTGATTGGCCATTCCACTGGCCAAATCCCAGTGGAAAGGATTATATCCTCCTCCTCATGTGCCCAGTTAAACCTGATCAAGCTATTTTCCTTCCACACTAACCGCCCCGTGCTATCACTCTTCTATTGAATGCCTGCTCTGTTTCACCCCCAGCTTGTGTTTCAGCAGTACACTACATGTCCCAAACACTGTGAGACCATTCAGTCCTCACCTACACAACTACTCAGCTTACCTGTGTGGACTGGATCACTGTAAGATCATTAATGTAGCAGAAGCCAGCTCCCATGGCAGAGCGAAGGCCGGCGGTCCCAAAGGTCAGCCTGCAGCAGAGGCGATCCCGCAGCTCTTTGTGCTTCCCATTCTGCAACAAGCTCTCAATCTGTTCTTTAGTTTTCTGGTTCTGAAAAAGAAGATGAAGATCTTCATTTAGCTCTTGAAACCAGGATGTGAACTATATGCTCAGTGGGGTTAAATCATTCCTAGTTCTGCAGTGCAGCAGGTACTTCCTATGCTATAAAATGCCCATCTGCACAAACTCACCTTTGTTGTAGCACTCATTTCTAGCACAGAATCCCAGATTGGTTTGGGTTGAAGGGACCTTAAAGCTCTTCCAGCTCCAACCCCTGCCACGGGCAGGGACCCCTTCCACTGGAGCAGCTTGCTCCAAGCCCCTGTGTCCAACCTGGCCTTGAGCACTGCCAGGGATGGGGCAGCCACAGCTTCTCTGGGCACCCTGTGCCAGCGCCTCAGCACCCTCCCAGGGAAGAGCTTCTGCCTTATCTCCAACCTGAACTTCCCCTGTTTCAGTCTGAATCCATCACCCCTTGTCCTATCACTGCAGTCCCTAATGAAGAGTCCCTCCCCAGCATCCTTGTAGCCCCCTTCAGACACTGGAAGCTGCTCCGAGGTCTCCACGCAGTTTCTCTTCTCCAGGCTCAACAGCTCCAACTCTCTCAGCCTCATCCTTATAAATAAGGCTTCAGGAGCTCTTGCTGCACCTATCTGCTGATGTGTTTGCCCAGTTGCTAATACACCTTCCAGCTACAGGAAGCCTGGAAATGGGAAGCACAGACTTCAGAAGAGATTCTTCCCAACGCAGGTTCCACCAGCTCGTTCTGTGCTGCTGGAAGACAGACAAGAATCCTGACTTCAAAGCACCATTTCCTTCCTTCCCAGTGCAGGAGAAGTCTGTCAACAGGCACAGTAAGAGCAAGCTGACATTGTAAAAGCAGAAAGCAAGCTTGCCTTTTCAAGTTACATCAGCTGTTAGGGAGGTGAGTACAAGAGAGTGAAAGCTCCTATTGATCACAGCTGTGCAATAAAGATGGGTGCTTCTCTGAGAAAGGCCCAGACATTTTGGATACTTGCCCTGCTCAGGAGGCAAGGGGGAAAACACCAGTAACTACTGCTCCTGAAGGGAAGTATCGCATGCCCCATTGTAACAACCACTTTCACAACCCTCCAGACTTAAGACTTTTAACTTTATTTACGAGGACCAAGAATTTTGTCAGTAAAATGCAGAGAATTGAACCAAACCTTTCCAATTACTTCTAAGTTCAGAAAGAATCCATTTTCCATGATACAGCGACTAAAGAAAGAATCATCCAAAACAGTCCTTGGGTTTACCCTTCTGAGGAAGTCAAGTCACATATTGACAGTGTCATGGTTCATAGGCAAGCCTCAGAGACATTCTCCCTTTCTGGTACCATTGTCAGTGGCTCTTACACCTCTTCACCTACACTTGCATAGCTCATTGCAGCCAAAAGCTCTATGGTGCTGTTTGTAGAGTGGGTACCGTGGTGGGGACTTGCTGCACGAGGCTGCACCAGCTCAGACCAAGGGCTGGTTAGTCCAGAACCCTGATAACAACTGTCAGCAGATGCCAAAAGACAGGAATAAGGGCAGCACAACCATGGCAGGAAGCTCAACAAAGACTTAAGGGTGATCTCAGGATTGCCTACATAGGGAGATCCTCACCTGCACAGGAAGGTTCTCTGTACAGCAAAAGGGAGATGAACACGACAAGTCAGGACAGAACACTGCTGTCATCCCTCACCTTTATCAGCTAAAACCCATGACTAAAATGAATGGCCAGCAGACAAGGAAAAAGTCTGGCTAAAGAGAAGAGTAGGAAGCAATTCCTGTGACCCAAAACCTACTCCATTTTAGAGTCCCTTAGATTCTTCCCTAAATGCAACGTTTGTCATTTCCATGCATAGAGAACACATTTTCTCTCATACACAATTCAGCTGAGGGGGTGATTATACACGTCTGAAAATCTTAATTCAAGTAGTTACCTTAAGGTAGGAAATACTACAACCCTGTGTTTTAAAGTCACTCGTATGCACTGCAAGGTGTGTTCTGTAGCAGGATACAGACACTGATTATATTATCAGTGTTTTCCTGAACTCTCATCACTGTCAAAGCTATGAACTTCCGAATGTACACACTGCAAATACACAGACTGGTAATCAGACCTGAGCAAACTCTTCCCTGTGAGGGTGCTGAGGTGCTGGCACAGGGTGCCCAGAGAAGCTGTGGCTGCCCCATCCCTGGCAGTGCTCAAGGCCAGGTTGGACACAGGGGCTTGGAGCAAGCTGCTCTATGGAAGGGGTCCCTGCCCGTGGCAGGGGTTGGGACTGGAGGAGCTTTAAGCTCCCTTCCAAACCAAGCCTGTCTGTGACTCTATGATTCACAGTTATTCAGCTGATACTGATGCTAGGAAACAATGGGACATAATAGCGAAAACCTTACTATTACCCATGATGATTAGAATTAGACAGTCATGCTTATACCCACAGCATCATCCTGGACATGCCCGAGGGGACCTAAGGGACAGAAAAAGAAGGTGAACCCAGTTTGACAAAAAAAAACACAGTAACAGAAGAATATTGATGTGTGTCCTTTGACAACAGGTACTAACAGGGAGTGATTCACCCATAGGAGGCTGTTTTGAAAGATGCTGTTTGGATGAGTAAGGACCCATATTAGAAGGGCAGCGGAGCTGGTGCAGGGCCTGGAGCCCAAGTGTGATGGGGAAGGGCTGAGGGATCTGGGAGGTTCAGTCTGGAGAAGGCTCAGGGGGGACCTGATGGCTGCCTACAAGTGCCTGAGAGGAGGATGGAGCCAGGAGGGGCTGGGCTCTGCTCCCAAGGAACAAGGGATGGGACAAGAGGAACCGGCCTCAAGCTGCACCAGGGCAGGTTTAGATGGAGCTGAGGAACAATTCCTGCCCCAGAGGGTGCTCAGGCATTGGAACAGGCTGCCCAGGGCAGGGCTGCAGGCACCATCCCTGCAAGTGCTCACACCCCATGGAGGCGAGGCCTCAGTGCCATGGGGCAGTGGTGGCCTTGGCACTGATGGGAATGGTTGGATTGGATGAGCTTGAAGGGTTTTCCAACCTGGATGATTCCACTATTCAATAATTTATAGCACAGGGATTCTAAAGGCTCTGTGAATTCATTTGGTTATCAAGAAACTGTCTGCTGCCATCCTGTTTGGATGAGACGTCTCCCAGGTCCTATAAACACAGCACAACCCAGCCAGACTTGCTGACAACACAGGGGATGTAGCAGATAAGCAACACACAGCTGTACAAAGCAGTGACTCCAGTCATGTAATAGCACAAACTGCACAAGTGCTTCTCTAAACCAGTGCTCCTTCAAGCAGGATCCCAAGGAAAGGTTAAAACGGCAAAGGGAATGTGAATGGCAAAGGTGGAGCACCCTGACATTTAAAATAGAGGTCAGCCAGCTCCAGCTCGGGCACTGCCTGCCCCAGGGCAGCCTCTGCAGCACTGGAAACAGGGAAGATCTGCAGGAGCAATGGGGAAACACAACGAGGAGAGCTGCACACCTGGAGGAGGAAAAGAATACTCATTACAGCTTGCTGCCAACTCAGAAGCACAACCTACACAGCCTGACAACAGGCCATGAGCACCAACGTGAGAGACATGGGCATTGAAAAGCAAATGAAACCATGCCTGTTCACACTTCAGATGGCTCCGAACCCAAAGCCATCCCTCACAACCCAGCTGGAAAATGGACTACAAATGAAACAAACCCAACAAGGCACATCAAATATTCAATCCCAGAAGTAAAAAGCTTCTCTTTCAGTGTTCAGGAACAGCCAACCAGAACACAAATGAGTAATGTGAGGAGCAGCAGAGGCAAAAGGACATGAAAACCTCATTTCACACTATCATAATTCAATACTTTGTTTTGCTTTAAAATAAGGGCTATTAAATGACACAACATCATTAATGGGTTTTTAGGATACGCTGCGTTGCTCGTCTGCAAGCGCAGAGTAACGTGGAGTGCATTAGAGTTTATGGCCTGGAGTTCTGCAGGTCTGAACCAAGAGTTTACTGAAACATTTCTTTTACAAATAGGTTAACATGCATTTTTTATTAAAGACACCTTATTTATTTCCAAAGGGAAGAAAATCAGCCACAAGAGCATCCAACTAGCACTGAATTTGCTGCATGGAGACCTCTGAGTAGCTCTGAAGGGGGCTACAAGGATGCTGGAGAGGGACTCTTCATCAGGGACTGCAGTGATAGGACAAGGGGTGATGGGTTCAGACTGAAACAGGGGAAGTTCAGGTTGGAGATAAGGCAGAAGCTCTTCCCTGTGAGGGTGCTGAGGCGCTGGCACAGGGTGCCCAGAGAAGCTGTGGCTGCCCCATCCCTGGCAGTGTTCAAGGCCAGGTTGGACACAGGGGCTTGGAGCAAGCTGCTCCAGTGGAAGGGGTCCCTGCCCATGGCAGGGGTGGGAGCTGGATGAGCTTTAAGCTCCCTTCCAACCCAAACCATTCCATGATTCCATGATTTTGTTTGCTCAGGTTGCACTTGGTCAACTAAAAAAAAAAAAGTAAAAACCATAAGTTCCAAGTGAAGGAAGAAAGTCTCCAAGCTTCCCACAGATGACCTGAAACTCCCTGGCAACAGAAAGAAGGAATTTTCAAGCCTTGGAGTAAATTTATCCATGGTGATGATCAGTCTCACGCTCTGGGTTATGCTTTCAACAGCATTCAAAAACTGATCTCAAGACTGTTCCCACACTGTGGCACAGCACTCACTGCTTTTCCTTTTTTCTCTCTCCAAGTTGGAGCTTCAAAGCTTCAAAGCCAATGGACCCCTTCAGCTTCCTGCAGCACACTGCTTGGGCATGAAAACCATTCACCACGCTAAACAGAGACTTTAAGAGTCAGGGAGGGCTAAACGACAACGACAGCTCCCACTGTTGACATTTAACCCTGAGGAAGAACCTTTAGGATCATCAAATCCAACCACTCCCCAGCACTGCCAAGGCCACCACTGACCCACGGCACTGAGGCCTCGTCTCCACGGGGTGTGAACCCTTGCAGGGCCGGTGCCTGCAGCCCTGCCCTGGGCAGCCT